GGGGTGCTGGTCTATTTGGATGACATTCTTATCTACTCCGAGAACATGGACGACCATGTGTAATTGGTGCGGACTGTCTTGAAAAAGCTCAGGGCTGCTGAACTGTATGCCAAGCTCTCCAAGTGCAAATTCCACAAAAGCAAAATTGACTATCTTGGATACCCCATGAGGGGATTGAGATGGACCCTGGAAAAGTCCGGGCAGTGTTGGAGTGGGCCGCACCACGTACCCGCAAACAACTACAGAGCTTCCTGGGATTTGCTAACTTTTACAGACAGTTCATCCCCTCGTTTGCCAAAATCGCACTGCCGATAACAAATCTTCTGAAAACCAAAGGTGAATTAAAACCGAAGCCCTTCCGGCCCCTTGAATGGACTATGGACTGTCAGGCAGCATTTGAGAAGCTGAAACAGTTGTTTGCTGCTGAACCAGTCCTGAAACATCCCAATATGGAAGAGCCTTTTGTTGTACAGGCTGATGCTAGCGATGTAGCAGTAGGAGCTGTACTTCTGCAAATGAATGCAGGAGGGAAATTACAACCTTGTGCCTATACCTCCCGTAAATTGACTGAGACCAAGAGGAGATGGGCTATATGGGAGAAAGAGGCCTTTGCAGTATACTGGGCACTATTAACATGGAGACAATTTCTTGAAGGAGCTAAGCACCCTTTTGAAGTGTGGACTGACCATAAAAACCTGGAGGCGTTGAAAACACCGCGTAAGCTGTCACTCAAGGAAGTCCGCTGGGCTCAACACTTCAAATGCTTTAACTTCACCCTACACTACCTTCCTGGTGGGAAGAACTTCATGGCGGATGCACCTTCTAGACTGCCTCAGTATAACAGTGCCAGAGAGGAAGTGGTTCAGCCAATCATCCCTGCAACCCAGCTGGCGGCACCAGTAACTACGAGAGCGCAGGCGAGAGGCAATCCAGCCCTACAGAGCGATTTGCTTCGGAAGCTACAAGACGCTCTAAAAACTGACGAATGGTTTAAATCCCACTCGAATGAATGTACACTTCGTGATGGACTAGCCTGGGTGGGAGCAAAGTTGTATGTTCCCACTAGTCTGAGAGCAACGGTTTTACAGCACGCTCCTGACTCTAAGGTGGCGGGACATTTTGGGTTTGTCAAAACCCTACACCTGGTTAAAAGACAGTTCTGGTGGCCCGCACTCAAAAAGGACATAGAGGCATATGTAGCCAGCTGTCCAGTGTGTGCCTCGGCTAAGAGACCTCCGGGAAAGCCATCTGGTCTACTTCAGAGTGCGGCCAGACCTAATGCCCCTTGGAAAGAGATATCCATGGATTTTATTGTAAACCTGTTGGATAGTGGGGGGAACACAGTCATATGGGCTGTCACTGATTTGTTTTCCAAACAAGTGCATTTCATCCCATGTTCAAAGATCCCTTCAGCAAAAACACTTGCAAAAATGTTTATACAACATGTGTATAGGCTACATGGTGCCCCAAAACGTATAATTTTGGACAGGGGTGTGCAATTTACCTCCAAGTTTTGGAAAGAGTTCCTGATGTTGATAGGCTCCGCCCAGGGGTTAAGCTCCGCCCATCATCCCCAGACAAATGGGGCTTGTGAGAGAACCAATTCTGTGTTAGAACAGTATCTGAGATGTTACATAAATTATCAACAAGATAACTGAGTGGACCTCTTGCCATTTGCAGAGGTTGAGTATAATAACTCCATACATAGCAGCACAGGTTTCACTCCGTTCAAGGTGGCTTCAGGCCAAGAGTTTGTGCCAATCCCAGAGCTACTCAAGACAACCCACAAAATCTCTCTTTGATTGATTGGATCGAACAGGTACAAGGAACTTGGGCAGTAACTCGAAAAGCTCTCGATGAAGCACATCGAGCTCATAAAACCCAAGCTGACAAAAAGAGATGCCCGGCACATCCTTATAAAGTAGGGGACATGGTTTATCTCTCCACCAAATATTTAAAAACCTCCCAAAAGTCAAAAAAGCTTGGACCTAAATATGTGGCATCTTTTCCAATCACCCGAGTAATTAATCCAGTCACGGTTGAATTGGAATTACCAAAAAATTTGCAATGAATTCATCCCATGTTTCATGTCAGCTTATTGAAACCGGAACATTCGTCCTCTTTACGTCTGGACCAAGAATTCCCCCCGTCCCCATTCTGATTGAGGGTGAACAACATTTGAAGTTAAGGAAATTTTAGACTCCCAAAAGTATCATGGTAGAGTGCAATATTTGGTGGCTTGGAAACATTTTCCATTATCTAAAGCTGAATGGGTAAATAAACATGATGTTCGGGCGCCTAAGAAAGTGCAGTTGTTTCACACCAAATATCCTGATAAACCTTAATTTATGTATTGTGTTGTTCTCTCCTTTCCCCTCTTTTTTCTTTTAGGAATAAGATCTCTTCTGAAGGGGGGCCGAATGTCAGCCTCCGCCTTTACTGCTTTGGCTGCCATGGTAATGGAGGGAGTGGGGAGCTAGCATAGGAGAGAAACGAAAGTGAGACTTAAGCTACTGTGGTGCATCTTTGAAGCTACTATCGGGTCAACGGTCATGGCATTCCTGATTGATGACACTGCCAGATGTGTGCTCCCACCTGACCTCTGGGAGACCTTTGGATTGGATGATTTACGATGGACAGTGGGAGGGAATACTTTCTATTTGTAATTTTTGCACTTTTGCCTCAGATTCTGCTTTTTCTTGGTTGCAATCACTTCATTTTCTAGTAAAAGTACCTTTCTCGGTGCCTGGAGGCCGTGCGGGCCTGGATGGGGAGAAACAGGCTCCGACTCAACCCTTCCAAGACCGAGTGGCTGTGGCTTCCGGTGTCCCGATATAGCCAGCTGGTGCCATCGCTGGTTATTGGGGGCGAATCACTGGCCCCCACAGAGAGGGCTCGCAACTTGGGCATCCTCCTGGATACACGGCTGTCTTTAGAAGAGCATATGATGGCCATGGCCAGGGGGGCTTTTTATCAGGTCCGCCTGATATGCCAGTTGCGTCCCTTTCTGGATTGGGACTCCCTACGCACGGTCACTCAGGCACTCATTACTTCCTGCCTGGACTACTGCAATGCTCTCTACATGGGGCTCCCCTTGGGGTGCACCCGGAGGCTCCAGTTGGTCCAGAATGCGGCCGCGCGGGGGATTATGGGAGCGACAGGGCGCTCCCATGTGATACCTCTCCTGCGTGAGCTGCACTGGCTTCCAGTCGTCTTCCGGGTGCGCTTCAAGGTGTTGGTGACCACCTTTAAAGCGCTCCATGGCTTAGGGCCTGGGTATCTACGAGACCACCTTCTGCCGCCAATAGCCTCCCACCGGCCAGTTCGCTCGCACAGAGAGGGCCTCCTCAGGGTGCCATCGGCCAGACAATGTCGGCTGGTGACCTCCAGGGGGAGAGCCTTCTCTGTGGCGGCATCTGCCCTCTGGAACGACCTACCCCCAGAGATACGCACGATACCAGACCTCCAGACTTTTCATTGGGCCCTGAAAACTCATTTATTCCATCTAGCCAGGCTGGCTTGATCCCATCCTTTCGGTTTTAATTTGAAATTGGTTTTAACTGGGTTGTTTTAAATTGAGGGCCGAAATTATTTAATGTCTTTTAAACTGTTTTTTAAATTTTATATGTTATGTTTTATCTCGGCTGTTCACCGCTCTGAGTCCTGTTGGAGAAGGGCGGTATAAAAATCAAATCAAATCAAATAAATAAATAAATAAATAAATAAATAAATAAAAAAAAATAAGTGCTAAAAAAATCCTAGCAGTGAAGCTGTAAAAATGCGAGTTTCACAAGACCCGCAAGCAATTCCAGACTTTCCTTGGGTTCACCAACTGTTACAGACAGTTCATTCCAGCCTTTGCTGAGGTTGCTTTACCCGATGGAGCTGGTGAAAATGGGGGGTGGGGGGTGGGGGCAAAGCTGTGGCCAAGCCAACCACTGGCTTGGTCCTTAGACTGCCAGCGAGCATTTGAGAAACTGAAGAGGCCTCTTCACAGAAGAGTCCATCCTTCAGCACCCCGATTCCGAACAGGCATTTGTCGTCCAGGCCGATGCTAGCGACATGGCAGAGGTGCCATGTAGCAGAGATGCTCTTACAACAAAACCCCTCTCACTTCTCTCATTGCAGGATGTTCTCTTCTACTGAAGGGGGGCAGCCTGTAGCCCTACAGCCATTTTCCTTGGCATCTTCAGGGCTGCCACAGGGGTGGCTGGGTGAGCTGTGGAAATGGGACCAAAATAAAATTATTTTCCCTGAGAACCAAGGGTGTTCCTACCAGGTGTGAAGAGGTGGGACATGAGTCCAGATGAACTTTGGACTGTGACCTGATTGGGCCATGTGATGGTCTGAAAGGAAAGGAGGAGGGGAAAAATGTATTTTTTATTAGGGGGAAACCTGAGGGACTTTAGATTTGGGTTTTCCCAGATGTGCCAATATGACATGCCTAATAAATCTGTACTTTGAGGAATGTGCCTGCCTCAGAATTTTGATTTTGTTGGGGTGTTATTTGGAACCCCGACACATAAGCTATCTTGTTCCAAGATTCTGGTTTGAGAATTTTGTGATCATGATTACAAGATGATTATTATAATTTTATTAAATTTGTATTCCTCTTGACTCCCAATGATACCAGCCTATTCACAAGTAATTTTTTTTTAAAAAAATTACAATTAAAATCAAAAGTAGGAAATAAAAGATAGCAAGGTGGCAGCCAGACTTGAATAGAAAAAATAAAAGAATTCAAGGTGGCTTAACTCACCCTTGCCTTAGGCCTGGGAGAGGAGCCAAATCTTCTGGCCCTTTGAAAGACCAGTAGGGTAGAGGCCATCCAGGTCACAAGGGGAAGATTCAAGAGGGCAGGCACTGCGATAGATAAGGTGTATTTCCGGGGTCTTGATAGATAGCAATGTTTAATTGAAGTAACCCAGAGCACCCCAACCCTGCCAGATTGATTTGGTAGAGATGGTACTACAGATATACATTTAGGAACTGGTACTCACAGAAATATTAGTATCCTTGTTAAGGATGACTTGTAGAAGATGGGGAGGAAGAATTGGCGGAGATTTGAATCGCTCTTCAGGCCGATATACATACATATCTTGGCCATAAATTCCAGGAGGGGAGCCACAAAGTTCTATTGAAAATTAAACAGTGTGAGTAAAGAAACCAGCTCATCATTTTTAATGTTCATGCTAAAAGTGGAAGAAAAGTCACCTTGATAGGAAGTCTCTGAACTTTCAAGGGAATCAACTTTTAAAGCATCAAACACTTCAAAATCCGATTTTTTTACATGAATCAGATTGTTTATTGTTCCCATCTGACTGGTCACTACAGGCTAAAAAAAGAAGACAGAATTAAGAATTTATATAAACTCAAATGCCTTCGAAACAGAGATTTTGCTCACAAAACAAGAACTGTATAAAGGCTGTCCTGATCATATTCACATTCTAGATCCAACCCCATAATGCCCAATCTTTACATTTCAGACTAGAGTAGAAGGAAGCATACCAGTTTTAATTCAGTTCAAACTCTGCTTTAGCTGTGAACTCACTCTGGGGACTTTCTTTCTCATCTTCTTCAATAAGATTAACTGGGAGATGATGGATACCCATGTTTCCCTGAAATAAGGCCCGGTCTTATTTTCTTTTGGGCCCCAAAATAAACACTAGGGCTTATTTTTTGCGGTGTCTTATTTTTTCCCCATGTACGGGTGGCCCACTTCTGCTTGCTCACAGCGGGGCAGAAGACTGTGCAGTGTGCCAGTGCCAATGTGAGGCAGGGAGGTGGAGCTGCCCCATACGCTCCACACCAGCTTACCTCAGGGCCCCCACAGCCAGACCACCCATGCTCTGACTCCTGCCTCGTCTCGTGGCAGCTGCTCCAACAGCCCCATCCAGCAGGACCCCAGGGGGCCACTGGCATTCTGCTTGGTTACGGCTGCAATGGAGGGGCTGATCTAGTGCCCAGGCTGGCTACAACACAATGTTCATTATCGACTTTGAGATTCCTAGCTGCAATGGACAGCAAAGCTAAGGTAGACCCTGACCACTTCTCTCCGCCACAGTGCTTCCTGGATGCGGCTTACAGCTCCAAGCCCAAAGCGGCGGGAGGTGAGACCTGCCTTGGCACCACCAGCCTCAGACTCTTCGCAGTCCATGGAGGATGCGCTCGAATCTGTGCCAAGACCAGGGCCTCAGGAGGGCATGGGCGAAGACTTTTATGGCTTGCTTTGTATCTTGCAGAAGCAGAGACAGGCGGGAGGTCTGAGAACACACAGTGCCCCAGCGCAGCGCTCACCCTTGAGGGCCGCCCACCCACCAGCTGGACTGCCCAGAAGCAGCGTGTCCCCCGGTCATGGGCTGGATGCGGGACCCAAGGTGGAGGGGAGGCCGAGCGGGCAGCCCTCAGGGGAGACAAAAGTTTCTGGAAGGTGATTTGTTAGAAACCTGAGCTGCACATGTATGTATGATAGATATGCCACCACATTAAAGTACTGGTAGATGCCAGCCTTCCCTCCGCTGGGCGTGGGCAGTTACTGGAGACAGACGGGCCTGTTTCAGCACCTGGTGCCCAGATGCCCTCACTTCCCCCAAGCATTTTTTTGATAACCTAATTTCCAGTTCTGTTGCATTTCTCCATCGCATTTCTTGGCATTGTGTGCAGGGAAACAAATGTTTGTGTGACTAAAAAAAAAGTTCAATCAATTCCAACTTCTTGCAGGAAGAAAAGCTCTGGCAAAGTAAAAATTGATTGAACGTTTTTTTTTTTTAGTCCTACAAACTTGTTTTCCTGCACATAAATGCAGAGAAACACAGTGGTAGGCAAAGAAATGCTTGGGGAAAGCGAGGGCATCTGGGCGGTGGTGGGTGGGTTAGGGTTAGGATTCGTGGCACTGTGCTGCAATGGAGAAATAGGAAACGGACCGGCCGGTGTGAGGGAAGGAGTCCGCTTTCCCTCTTCTCTCTGTTCCTCCTTCCCTCATGCCGGCAACTCCATTTCCTGTTTCTCTATTGCAGTGCAGCGCTCAGGATCCTCTTTGATAGCAGGGGAGTAATTTAACAACTGGTTTGCCCAGGGTCAAGTTGGTCGTCGTGGGAGGCTTGTCCCACATCTGCATTGGAGCTGGAAGATGGGGATGGGCCACGCCTCCCATGACGTCCAACCTGACCCTGGGCAAACCGGTTGTTAAATTATTTCAATTCTACCACTGGCCGATTCCCAACATAATAAGGTTTCCAAACTGCTTTAAAAATACCCAGATAAACCCAAATGGAAGGGCAATAAAGCTGTATATGTACATGATGGAAAATAGGGGGGAATAAGTGATAAAGACCAGAGCAGCCTGGGTCCAGAGTGCCTGCAAACCTGTCTCTTGAGGAGCCCGGCAGAAGTCTTGCTCGCCAATCACTGTGACGGGACGGGGTCCTTCAGACACTTAGCTTGGCTGCCTGTTTCGTAGCTCCAGCCCCTCCCTCCTTCACTGGGAGTCCAGGCACTTCAGCAGGCAGCAAGCGAGATCTTGGCCAGCCTCCTCAGCAGATTAGGACTTTGCAGGGGGGCAATCTAGTGCCCGGGGTTGCTATAACACAAACATTCATTCTTGGCCTTACTTGAGATTCCTAGCTGCAATGGGCAGCAAAGCTAGGGTTAACGTCCCCCTGCATTGGGGGGAGAGTGAGCGGATGGCAGGCACCTGGAGGTCCTGCAGAAGCTGAGAGGCATCCCTGAAAGGCGGCTGAGACTCACTGTGTCCACCCCCATGTCATTGGCATTGCCTTCCAGTTTCAGCTGATGGGGCTCGTGAAGTTAAGGTCTGTGTGCGGCCAAAGAGTAAGGGCCAGCGGGTGCATGGGGTGATGTGGGCGGGGCAGCCTCATGCTCCCATGCAGGCTGGATTAATGGCTTTGAGGGCTGTATCAGGCCCGCAGACCGTAGTTTGAGGAGCCCTGCTTTATAGCATTCAGCTATACTAGGGTGGCCATTATGTACTAGAATGGCCCCTTCTCCTTTTTCTGTTGATCACTTCCAGCATGATTGACTGTTTGAGTGAGTCAGTTTGCATGACATGGCCAAAGTATGATAATCTTTGTTTGGAAATTTTGGGTGAGATTCAGTCTAGGACTTCTTTGTGATTTTTGCAATCCATAGGATGCCTAATAATTTTCTCCAGCATCACAATTTCAAGGTGTCCAACCTTCTCCTGCCTTTTTCAGAGTCCATGTTTCGCAGCTATAAATACCAATTAGAAAAATTATTATGTCAACTAACCTGCATTTGATTGGGAGGCTGATATATTTATTCTTCCGGACGTTATTCATGCTGGACATTGCAGATCTTCCAAGTGCTATATACCTTCTGATCTCAGAGCTGCAGTCACCATGTTGGTTGATTTTAGATTCCAAGAAGTTGAATTCCTTTGTTTTTATGGTCTCATTGTCGATGTCGAGATTGAACTGCTTTGCTTCTTTCAAACCTATTGCTTTTCAACTTGCCAATGAACTGGCAAGATTGAATGTGGAGAATGTATGGAGAGATCCTGAGAGCTTGGAGCCAGCAAGGTCACCACTGCAGGTGCTTCAGAAAGAGATGGACCGTTCTCATAACAAAAGACCATCTCATAATTGGACAATGTAATCAACCAGGGGTGGGGAGAAGGAGAAGGGTTGTTTAACTGGGCAAGCATTTGCCTGGGAAACCAGAGTGGTTTCATTTCTTCACTACCAACATGGTGTATCCAATAAAGTTTTACTTTTGGGAATTAAATTCTCCCGAGAGTGTTTCCTTGTTTTGGATCCGGTAATTGGATAGTTGACATTAAATCAGCTCTCCTAACTCAACTCAGCGTACTCAAGGAAACCCGAGAGAGCTGTGATCTAACGATGTCCAGAACGGAATGAAAAGCTGATGCCACAGTGAAGCCTTGATTGCACTCCCCTGGGAGGCACCAGCAATCGCTCATGAATTCCAGAGCACAGATGGTAGTAACCCAATCCAAAGTGAAAGTGGAGATGATGGAGCAGCCAACAGTGCATGAAGGTCATGGCAGGAACCATTTGCCCTGATGCAAAGGCACAATGGCCGAGCAGAGTTGGGAAAGCAGCCGAGTTCAAGTTCCTCTTGTTTCCATCTGGAGTGGCTCTGATTCGAGGGAGCAAATGGAAGGTGCGGAGGGCTGCTGACTGGGAAGAGCCAGGGGAATGGAAATTCCTAACATCATGCTGTAGCCCACTTGTGGAGCAACTGTGTGAAAGACTTGTCAGAATGGAGATGCAGGAACCAGCACCGATGAATCCGTCAGTCCCGGGAGCGGGGCTTCTGATGGGCCAAGCGTCAGCAGCTCTCTCCCCTTCTCTACTACAGAGAGTGAGACTGGGGAGTATCATCCAAGGAGTTGGGGCTCCCCAGCAGGGGCTGCCATTCCTTTTTCCACGGCTGCGGGGCAAGCCCAGGGAATCCCTGCAGCAGAAGGAGCCCAGGCACAAGCAGTCCCCCAGAAGGGAGGTCTGCCACCAGGCTACATGCTAGTTTGGGATGATTGGGAGCTCCCAACTCTAAAAGCAATGTTTGATGGGCACCTGGAGAAACTACCATACTTCCTGAACTAGGTGTGGAATAATCTGGATCAGTAGGGGGCAATGTACCCGGATGAAGCTGCCCATGGGAACGCCATCACATCAAACTAGAGGATGAGGTGGCAGAGTGGACCTGCTGCTTGGTCATCCTGCGAACTGTGGAAAAGATGGGACTCAGACTTAAAATTGAGGCAAGCTATGAAGTTTGAACAAGTTGATGGCTCCCTTACTGGGGACCTACCAGCCATATGCCTAACCGAACCCGTAACCCTGAAATTAGGAAGCCATGAGGAAACTATACGTTTCATTGTAGCCCCCAAAATGGCAGAGACAATGATATTTGGGTTGGCATGGCTGAAAAAGTGGAACCTCATGGTTGACTGGAAAGAGAAGTGGCATAGTAGAGCAGGAGAACTGCAATATGTAGAGGTGAAGCACAGAGGCAGTGAAAGCCCGCTGATGGGGAAGGGAAAGATACAGTCTGTCAACTCATTAGTTGATAGGGCAACCAAGGGGGGCCAACCATCCCTAAGGTATTCTAAGACCTAGCGGAAGCATTTAGCGAGTGGGAGTCAGACATACTCTCTCCCCATCATCCCACTGACTGTGCTATTGAGATACTGTTGGAGGCAAAATTACCTAAGCCAAAAATATACTCATGACCTCAAGTGAGACAGAGGAGCTCAGGAATTTCATGGATAAAAATCTAGCTAGGGATTTCATCCAATCGGCAAAGTCTAAAATGGCAGCCCTAATGCTCTTT